AGGGCTGGCTGGGCTTCGGAGCGGGCTCAGGGTTTGGGCCAGAGCCGCTTGGCCGGAGTGGAGGAGGCTGCAAGTAGAGAAAAAGGCCCGCTTAGGGAATGCCTTTCTTATCTGTTGCATCTCCGTGCTAAATAGTCTTAGGCTGGAAGGAAGACGCACCCGCTAGAAACGTCTGTAGCAAAATCTGACGGCTTGGTTTTGTGTTAATTAGGTCCGTGGTCAAAGGCTTTGAAGTAACCATGGATAAAAGAGGAGGTGTAACAGAAACTGAAAATGGTGATGCCTTCCTGGAGTTGAACAGAATTACAACAAAATACCCCCATCGTTACACAAAGGTTAGCTCTCACCCCTTTCCTCTTAAAGTTGTGCTTAGAGCTGTCGGTCACAGGAGTAGAGTGGGAGGTGGAGGCTTCTGCGAGAGGGGAGCAGTAAGGTGAAAGCTGAAAAGCCTTTGCCTGGGTTAGGATTTGCAAGATGTTATAAAATGAGCAACTTGTTAAATGTGATGTAGCTGTGCAATCCTGTCCTCGATGTACTTTTGATTCCCACCACCTTATTTTAACATCTGAGCACCCCCACAGCACGTGCTGGAGAGATTATGGTAGAGGCAGAAGTATGTTGTTCTACCAGCTTTCCTAAGCACTTGCACTCTGTTCTACTAGTAGCTCTAGTTCTACTTTCAGCAGTGTTCCTTTAAGAAGTTGACCAAAAGGTTTCCTTACAGTAGGTGCCACTTCCTTGGAACATATAGCACACCAGAACTTATCAGGAGCTTTAATGTGTTTGCTAAGATGCCTTTTGTAATCTTAGAATGGCTCATATTCAGCTGCTGGAAGCCTAAGCACTTATGACTCCAGCCCATCCTTAGTGTTAAAACTTCAGTGCAGGTGCTTTTGTTCAGCTGTGACGCCTAACTATATGTGTGAGTGAAAGAACAATAGCTAAATAACTTGCAACTAAAGATTCTTTTAACACTAGGTGAGTTTGATATGCTGTGGGGTTTAAGGTTCAAATCTTGTTTGGGATTTTGGTACCACTGCTGAAAACTGCTTTTAGAAAGAGTCTTCAATGGTGGCTGATTTTCCCACTGCTGTGGGAGCTGTGGGAACAGGTGGGCCTTGCTTTCTGGAAATCTATTAAGATACTTTGCAACAAATGGCCTGAAGTGCGGAAAAGGGTGAGACGGTGTACTGTTGCTGCCTGTGTTATCTTACTTGAGGAATTCTGAACTGTTAGCTTCCTAGTAGGTTGTTTTTTAAAAGAAAAAATTATCAGTGTGGCTCTGTTCTGTTGAGATAGTAGGGCTAGCTTATTTTAACTAGACATCAACAATAAACAAAGTACTTCAGAACTGGCAAAGCTTACATGGGAATAGCATGGCTTTCTACTTCTCTCTACCTTCTTCGAAAAGATGTACACTTAACCTTGTAAGATGCAAAGCATACTACTGTTCAGACCTTGTTATTCAATGAACTATGAAGTGAAGGAGAGGAGCTGTCTTGCCCAACTCCACTCAATAGTAGTAACTGAATGCAGCTTCAAATTCTGCTTGCTTTTTTGGGCAGTATTCAGCCTGGTGCTGATGGTAGCTGTACCCTGAAACTGGTGCGTTTGTAGCTTTGGTTTTGTTAATTCAGTACCTGTAGTTTCTGATCAGGATAAAGTTGCAGACCTAGTGCTAGAAGGCATCTAGCTGTGTTTATCTGTTGGTTTCCAAGGAGTCAGAGGTCAAGAAACACCAGAAATCAATCTGTGCTAAAATACCTTGTGTCTTATGTTTGGTTTGCTTTACAAGTAG